AGTCAGTTTGTTTCAGTTGATAATGTAGTGTCTCCTCCGTTTAAAATTCAAACAGGGGTGCCCCAAGGTTCGATACTCGGCCCCCTATTATTTATAATTTTTGTAAATGATATTTTTTCAATATCAGATAAATGTACTACAATCCTGTTCGCCGACGACACCAATATTTTTTTGTCGGGAAAAGACCCAAATGAATTGTTCCTAGAAATGAATCGTCAGCTCCAAAAATTCTGTGATTGGTTTTTGAAAAATAAATTGGCATTGAACTTAAGTAAATCATGTTATATTATATTTGGTCCTAAAATAAGTACTAATAACAAAATTCTAGAAAAAAATAAATTGTTCATTCAGGGCACTGTGCTCCCAAGAGTGCAATTGATAAAATTTTTGGGGGTTATACTTCAAAGTGATTTAAAATGGACCAATCACGTTAACAAAATAGTCAATAAATTGTATCAAGTTATTGGAATATTATTTAAAGCGAGAAACAGATTGGATACTGAAACAATGATGATGCTTTATTATTCTTTTCTATATCCCTATCTGCTGTATGGGAATGTTTTCTGGGGATCCGCAAGTAAATATCTAATCAATAAGATCATTGTGCTGCAAAAGAGTTTTATACGCCTGTGTTTCTCCTTAAGTTATCGTGATCACACCAATCATTTGTTCCGAAGTCATAAAATTCTTAGGTTTGATCAATTACACAATTACATTCTTCTGATTTTTCTTTATAAAATTCTTTTTTATAACGATTATAAGCACCTAAATGTTTTTTGTAAGATCACATCGGCCACCAGACAACATGGTATGTTGATGCCAAAAAAAGTTAGAACTTCTACTTACGATAGAAGTTGGGTTGCTAAGGGAGTTAGACTTTGGAACGCTTTAGCTATGCATAACCAATTGCAACTTACAATTGAACACTTTAAGCATTATGCTAAGAGCGAAGTTATGTCCATGTCCGTCGATGTTTAAGATGTTATTATATATATGTATGTGTATATGTGTGTATGTGTGTATGTGTGTGTATGTATATATATATTTTTATTATGTTTAATTCTATTTAACGACTTGTCTACTTTGTGTTTTGTACATTGCACACGAACTTTAATTAGTTAAGGTGGTCTGCACAAGTAGTTTGTTACTTTTTTGATCTCCTGACTTATTTTTTCTGTCAAATAAAATTTGGATTAAAAAAAAAAAAAAAAAAAAAAAAAAAATATATATATATATATATGTTGGAAGGAGACCATATTTTATACGGTATTATACAGTATGCAGAATTGTTGGCATTAATCAAATTAAAGTTTGTCTTTTCAATTTTCCTTGTTAGAATTTTCAACCAATTGAACAATTTTTAAAAAATTCTAGTTAGGAAAATTGAAAAGACAAACTTTAAATTGATTAATGCCAACAATTCGGGTTGGGAGTGAGGTTGTCATTTTTTGTTGTATATTTATTTTTGGTTTATTGATGTCAATAAGGACTGCTTCTGCAATTTTAAAATGAGTGTAGTTGTTGTTCTGGTATATTACTTTGACGTTGCTGTTGATGATTTCACGGCTTATAGTGATTGAGTGTGTTGAGTCCAAATGTCCCAACCCGGCGCTTAATCAACAATGAAAACAAAGAAGTAATAAAAACTAGCATTGTAAACAATGACAAAGAAGAATATGATGCTATCGATGAAGGAAAGGAAACCAACGAAGATGGACCAGCCAATCGAAAAATCTGACACCCAAGTTCCATATAAGTTCATTTTCACAAAGTAAATATTTCTCTATATAAATCAACTAGCACTGATGATGATTCATTCGGAATCAAAATATGGCCTTATTTGCAGCATGATTTCGGAAAATAAGTTTATTTTGAATTGTAATAAACTAAACGTTCTCCAAAAAACTTTAGTGAGGAAAATCTAGAAAACGAACTACAAACATATTAACGCCAAACACTCGGTAGAATTTATAGAATATTATATATATATACATGAATGTATATATATATATATATATATATATATATATATATATATATATATCTGCATGGCAGATCAACTATTTTCACTCGTATATATAGTTATATATATAATATATACATTATTATTATTTTATTATTATTATTATAAAAAATTTATAAGCGCTTTTTAAAAAGATACTCAAAAGCGCTCTCAAATATTATCAGTATAATAATGAATGGTTGTGAATAGTGTTAAACATCAAAACATCAATTTCTTTAATATGTTAATGAAAAATTTTAGAATGTAATATTACAACATTATAATTATAGCAAAATAACTTATGCATTGATGAAGGTTGGAACAATTTTATTTAAACCCAACGTATTGGACTCTCATTCAAATAAACAAAAAAGTATAAAAACCAAACGCTCATTCATCTCAAACTTCCTTTCCAACGGTCATCTTCTTATTTCATTCTTCTTTATTTGCCCTCACGTGACAGCACAATGAACAAATGATCTACTAACAAAACCACACAACATAGCTGGATCTTACCTGGTTCAACACCCAGAAGTCAACTTCTGAAAGCCCGCCAACAATTTGGATCGCTGGTGCGTTCGATTCTGCCTCGCTACCTTCAACGATGGTCGTCGGTGATGGCAGCCTCCTCGGCACGAAAGAGTTCGTCAACCGAAACCTCACGTCCTCGTCTCCTGGCACCAACTACGTTGTCTTTCTCAGAGTTGCTACCTCCGATGCAGTTGGTTTTCATTTTTGTTTGGCCTCCACAACATTATGCTAGGCATATTATATGTTATATATTATTAATTTATCTAACATGGACTCGAGTTTACGGAAACAAACTTACTTGTCAATTTTATGATAAAAAATATTTTGTAATTTATTTCACTTTTTCCAAAGCAAAATTACTCATCTGACTATTCTCAACCGCTGTTTGGTGGCCATTTTGATCCTGTGACATACGTCACCTATCCACTTCTGAAGACAACACCCAGAACATTCCAACGAACATCAACTGTGCTTCCCACTCCCACGTCGTCCTTTCTTTCCTTCGTTGAATCCATTCCCAGTCCTGGAATGGAATCAAAGTATGTCGGAAATGAGAAAGATGTTGTAGGCGGTGGTGGCAGTCCGGCATCGGTAGCTGCTCCACTCTGCGTCACTCTGCTCTTCATGTTTCTGCTGGTCGGCCTCTTCTTCTTCGCCAGGTTTTTGTTTAGTTGATGAATGTTATTAAACTCAAATTATCTGATAAAGAAAAATTTAGATAACAAAATATAGAGTAGACATTTAACGATTGATCGGTGTTAAAAATAAGGACGTTCAGTTTTTTATTAAAGTTGATTTATTAACATTTTATCTTTCATATGCTTATTGCTTATTATTGTCAATGTTTTTTGTTCTTTTTTTTAAATTTTTTAATGCTGGGCAAACTTGGTGGCCTGCAGGAAGAGGAGGTACGCCTTCGAGTGGATGCTGCCCGAGCCCTGGAAGTTGATCCTGCCAACAAACGACATTCCATCCTTCTGCCAAATCGATCCTGTCGAGATGAGACGACAGCACCTACAAACACCAGGTTGGTTAGTTGGTTGGTTGGTTGGTTGGTTGGTTGGTTGGTTGGTTGGTTGGTTGGTTGGTTGGTTGGTTGGTTGGTTGGTTGGTTGGTTGGTTGGTTGGTTGGTTGGTTGGCTGGTTGGTTGGTTGGTTGGTTGGCTGGTTAGCTGGCTAGCTGGCTGGCTGGATGGCTAGCTTGATGGCTGGCTGGTTGGTTGGTTAATTGGTTGGCTGGCTGGTTGACCTCATTTTGAATGTTATGAAGCTATATGCAGATGATACAATGATTATTAAATTATCAAAAAACGATAAAGATGATACAAGTTCACAGAATGATTTGGTTAAAATGTTTAAATGGTCAGAGGATTTGCAGATAAATTTAATGCTAAAATAAAAATAATGCATGTTCGTAGAAATAAACCTAATAATAATGATTGTTATATGCATAGTGATGAGAAGGAAAGAATCAAACTTAAATTAAATAAAACAATATTTCTTTTTGTGGACTCGAAATCAACTGTTTTGTGAAATAAAAATAATTTGAAGTCAATTCTAAACTATTTTCGCATTTACCCGAAAACATGACAGCAAATGTTTCTTAATAACAAAGATAAAGATGAAAAAATTTGTGAACTCGATCAATTTGATTACACGACAAAGATTGACAACAAATTACAACAAATGTTGAATGTTACGACGGAGTTTCTAAATCTGTGTTTAAAATATTTTTTCGTCTGTTTTTCAACTTACGGCATTTAAAATGAACTGTGGTTTGTGTGCTGCCTGTCATAAATGATGGATCACCTTCACCACCACTGTTTGAATGTGGAAATATTCTAAAGATAAATGTTCTGAACACGCGAACACTTTGTAACACGCGTGTAGAACCAAATTAGCTGATTGTACTTTCTAACGTTTGTATTTCCATAACACTTTTGTAATGTAGTTAGTAAAAATTATTATATAAATTTTTGTTAATATGGTGTTACAAAAGTTTTCTTTAATGGTTATGGTTAAAAGATTTTCTTCCATGTTACGCTGACCACAAATAAAAAAATTTTGTGTGTCGTGAATGAATGATGTCAGCAAAAATTAGCGATAAAGTATAGAAGGCCGAAGTTTGCATTTGTGATATTAATGATCAGTTGGAAGGAATGATAGTCATCAACTCGTTAATCAGACACCTAACTGAAGAAGATATGCTGCATCATAAGCTGTTATTTCTTTCCACGAGTCCTGCTGGTTTTAATGGCTTCAGATGCTCGTTTGTCGTCGTTTGTCGCGTGGCTGCTGCTAATTAATTCATGGCCATCGATTACGTCGGCTTATTGCTTTCGTTAAACCATACTTCAGTTCGCATTGTATTGTTTGTTGCGGACCGTGCAATCGTTTGATGAATGTTCAGTGTATCGTTCGATGTTTAAGTCGTCAATCATTACTTACAAGTCACAACATGTTGGTATGAATCTTTTGTCAGTTTTACTACGCTTTGTTTTGTTATTATTCAATTTTATGGGTTATACTGAACACAATTAAATTAAATTAAATGGTTGTTGAAAATACCCTTGAACTTGTACACATCTCCATCGCAACAGCAATCGCATTTTCACTTCCCGTCATCATTTTAATCGCAGTCATTTAAGCATTTTTTCATCACCGCTACACCAACATCGCCAACATATCACGCCATCCCGACCCAGCGATGTTAAGCCACCCGCCCATCCAAGTAAGCGACTTTGAGCGACACGTGCAGTTGATGTTGGCGCACGACGGCATCTTGTTCGCGCAGGAGTACGAGTCGATCGAGCCGGGCCAGCAGTACATGTGCGAGAACTCTGAACTGGAGGTCAACAAGCCGAAGAATCGTTACGAGAACGTACTGGCCTACGACCACAGCAGAGTCATCCTGCGATCCATGGACGGCGGACCTGCAGCGGCAGGCATCGACTACATCAACGCTAACTTCGTCGATGGATTTCGAAAACAGAACGCTTATATTGCCACTCAGGTGAGGAGGAGGATGGTGATGATGGAGGAGATGATGAGGATGGTGAGGAGGAAGAAAAGGAAAATTATGAAAAGAATGAAATGATGAGAATGAGAAAAATTATAAGAAGGATGATGAGAACGGGAATGACCACAATAAGAAGAATAATGATCATCATCATCCACCCAACCAACTATCAACCCAACCATCAACCCAACCATCCAACCAGGGACCTCTTCCAACGACCTTCACAGACTTCTGGAAGATGTTGTGGGAACAGAGGAGCAGTGCCATCGTCATGATGACCAGGGTTGAGGAGAATCATAAGGTGGTGATGATGATGATGTTGGTGGTGGTGATGATGGTGGTGGTGATGATGAGGATGGTGGTGATGATGAGGATGATGGAAGTGATTATGATGATGATGGAGGTGGTTGTGATGATGTTGACGACATTGTCGGATGGCAATGGATGACGTAAAAATATTTACCATTGCAGTGCCTATGGATGTCTTTTTATAAACGACGAAAATATTTTTGTTTCAAATATTATTTTATTAAATTATTTTTGAATTCATCAACTAATCGTAAAATGTTGGGAAAATGTTGGTGAAATTAATATGCATGATATTAATATGAATACATACACTTTGTGATGCAATAATTGAACGTTGATGATGACGAACGCCTGTACGAAGGTGAGGTGCCATCAGTACTGGCCGGACAAGGGCAGTCAGATGTATGGACCATTCACAGTCACCTTGCAAGATATCGTTGAGTTAGCTCACTACACCATCAGAACATTTGTCGTGTCTACGGTTAGCAACTTGTTCTTATTTGTTCTGTTTGCTCGCAGCTGTTACGTGACTGCTGACCATTTCAACTCAATGAAAAGGAAACTAGTTTGAACACGCTGAGCACGCCAAGCAACATAAGCGAGCAGCGAGAGGTTCAACAATTTCAATTCACATCCTGGCCAGAGAACGGAGTGCCCGACAATCCCATGCCTCTCCTCCTCTTCATGAGAAGGGCCAAATTTCTAATCACGCCGGATTCGGGACCAGTCATTGTCAACTGCAGGTAGGTGTTGTTGGTTGGTTGGCTGGCTGGCTGGCTGGCTGGCTGGCTGGCTGGCTGGCTGGCTGGCTGGCTGGCTGGCTGGCTGGCTGGCTGGCTGGCTGGCTGGATGGATGGTTGGTCGGTCGGTTGATTGATTGGCTGGTTTGATGGATGGCTGATTGGATGAATGGATGGTTGGTTACGGCTGATTTGTTGGACGGCTGGCTTGTTGG